CGGCTTAGTAGTTTTTGAGTTTTTTATTGAAATAGTGTGGGTATACTAGGTGTGAAGCTAAAAAAATAATAAAACAGAGCTTTTTAATAGTAAATGAATTTGTGAAATCGGCTTAGTAGTTTTTGAGTTATTTCAATAAATAACTCATACATAATATTAAGATAGATTGACCACCAAATATTTGATTATTGTACAAGACAAGAAACATTTTGTAGGTATTTATTTAGGTATTTATTAGACATTTTTTTTGGAAATCCAATGAATGTCGCTACAATATTCTTACTTTATTCCGATGACTATACAGAAAATGAAATATACAAAACGTATAAAGTGGCACAAAATATCGGTACCATAAATCTTGTATGGTTGACAAAACATGTCTTTGTTACTTGACAGAAGGCAGGGCTGTGACCCTACGTACTGTCTAATCTTTACAAAGGGACACTTTCCGGGTGACAAGACAGCGTGAGACAGAGAAAAGTTTATTGAATGCAATAGCAGAATTATGTCAACTTTATTTTTACAGGTTGTTCAGAAATTCACAGGTCAAAGAAGCATAAAATAAATCCAACTCTTTCTAGGTTGCTGAAGATCACAATGACAAGATTTTTTTTTCTAGGGACGATGCCACATTTTTACCAATTTTTGCTTCATCCAATATTTTTAGCCACCCTATTCATTTATCTGGTAAAGATTTCTAGTTACGTCGTAGTCATTTAGTACATTGACCACTTTCTTTATATTATTAAATTGATAATTATCTACACAAATCAAACAAAACATAAGCACGAAACATAATAAATAGCCCAAATAGGTTGACGGACATTTTTCATAGCGCTTGTTCATAAATCTCCCTATTAGAAACTTGGCGTCACGCCACATAACAATTCAACGCAAATCGTGCCATTATTACAATGATGTTTTCACGAAAGTAGTAATTTACTTTTGTATTTAATAAAACACGCAAAGAGAATTTTAAGATATTTTTATATCCAAAAAACTTTTATACTTTAGAAGCCAAATTCAATTTATATTCACTCTACGTCTAGAGTGGCAATAACGTTGCATAAGGTTATATCAAAGGTATATTGGCCTTCGTAGAGCTGTTACATCGTAGCGCTACGAATGCTGTAGCTATCTGCTACGCTCACCTCTGACCTTTCGTAGCACATATCGGATAATGTAGGCTGCACAGGCCGCGCTCGCTCGCCTCCATGTAATTCAATCCGTACGTGCATGAATAATCTATTTTCATACGAAGCTTTCGATGAAAGCTTTACATCTAGCCTATGTATGTGTGTGAGTCTAGAGACACTAGACAGACCTTTTGGTCTATGTAAACTTAATTACGAGAAAAACCTATCTAGATTATAAAAAAAATGAATACCAAAAAACTATGGCTCAACTGTCTAGTCTCGCTTTGATCCCAACGAGCTAATATCGACGTGCGCACACTACTCAATTTATAGTTGTGTTGTGTAATCGACAATCGCACAACTGTTGTGTTCTTACCGTCATTGAAAATTCCATGCCACATAACAAAAATGTCAAGGAACTAATCAGCTGTTACCGAAGCTGTTAAAAAGTAACAAAATGATTGGTTTTAATTAACGACGATCGAACCATTATGGGGCTTACGTTGCAAACGACCGGACTATATAGCGCGCTAATGACTTGTCCCATTAAAAGCGTTTTAACGCGTATTAATATTCATCAATTCATGCGTTGATAAATCTATACATTATCACATATATGTACGTATACTACCTCTTTGTATGTATAGTTTGATTTATCGATTTAATACTATTTTAGTTGTAAAGTGTGCACTGTACGTGTCGAATGCCTAAAATTAGTCTTTTGCCCTTCCCACATTTTCTTATATGAAAAGGATAGAAGAGA